ACGTAAAGATCCGATCATTAAAGTTATTCAGAGTAGTCCGTTTACTTTTTTGTGTTCTGTAAATCGAAATTTCACTCCCTTCTTTTTAAAAAACATCAACGTTTCGCGAGTATGCAATTCGCTCTGTAAACGTGTGACCAAAATGATTAATTATCTATTTTTCATAATAGCTAGTTAGTTAAACGTGATTTAAAATAAATTTCTGTTAGTGCTCTGCTACAGCCTCAGGGTCATTTTACTGCATTGACGGAACGGACCCGATAAGATTTACCCAACAAATTCCAAAAATTAGTGCACTACTTTTTAAAAAAGTAGCGACTACAGTAAATTCACTACTTGTTGTGAGCTACTTCCGACCTATGTTTCTCTAGGTGGCGAATTTAAGAATTTCGATCACGAATACTAATAAATCATAATCGTGATAATTGTGCGTATAAAATAATATTTTCATACTTACAAGTTTCTCATTAACAAGAAGCATTACCACAAAATCATGTAACCTTACGGCAACATTATGTCAGAATTTTTTTTTTTTTATAGTTACGAACAGGTTTGCACTAAAAACCTTTTTCAATAAATTAAAAGTATTGAAATTTCAAACCTTTCATTCAAAAGGGATAAATAAATGATTCCTATATTTTCTATTTTTTTTTTTTAAACTTCATGTTGCTTAAGTTAAAAAATAAGCAAGTGCTAAATCTTGTTGTTGCATTTTTTATTTAATGCCACTATAAGGTACACAGAAACAGAAAATATTTTTTCAAGGAAACGAAATAAGGGACATATAAACTTTTTCCACGTAAATCTTAATAAGTAATTTTTTAAAAAAAATTGCGCAAAACCTTATTATGATGGGGTAAGCAAAATAAACTAGCATAAAACCTACGAAAATACTATGAAAACACGTTCTTTTAAAATTTTCACGAAATCATTGGTTAAATTAAAAAAAGTAAAGAAAATATTCCTTGTCGATGAGCCTTTTATTCCGGACAAAGAAAAATTTGTGTCAATGCTCAAAATGCATGTTTAAGAAAATTGACACGATTCTACATATTTTAATACATTACTTATTTAACTATTTTGCACGCAATTATTTTAGACAATAAGTAAAATAATTGATAAATCATTTAAATTTAAATAAAAAAGAAGAAAAAAATTGTAGCGAAGATGACGACATAATTTCTCACTACCCCACGAACGGGTTTACAAATAACTTGATGATCGGCAACTAGCGTCAAATATTGAAAAGAATTAGAATATTTTGTGAATCGAATCGGCTCATTAAAATAATCCTATTTCTTTTTTTAAAAAATTAATAAGTAAAAGTTCAGTATTTGATGTTCGCTGTTTCCAAACAATATAAAAAATTAGCATTCTTTGCTTTTAACTTTCAGTATTTTATAAAGGAAATACCAAAACTTTGAAAGTTTAAATACTCTGAAACTAATTTGTAATTTTCACAAAAAAGAAGCCCAGGTATTAATTATTTTTTTCTGTTATTAGAGGACAAGACTGCAAAAAAATTAGAATTTTACTGCGAATATAAACCTAAACCTTTTCCTAAAAACTGTGAATATAAACAATTTAATTACTTTATAACTCATTCGAAAATTCCACAAAGTGCGACGAGTTACCACTATATAACTGACGCTGACGTCAAAAGTCACACGTGTGGGTATCTGGGATAGCCTTGTAAGTACATAATTGGAGTTCTGTTCCTGCCGAATATACAAGTGATTCCACTTCAAGATGAATTTATCTCGAAATAGAATTTATCATTAATTTAAATTTCGAAAGTTTGCACACGAGATGGAAGGCACAAATTGCAGCTGGGTTTCTGAGAGTGATCACAGTATTAATGACAACTGTCTTCCTAAAAATTGGCAAGCAACATTTAAATTTTATCACCAATCCTAATTTAATAATCTTTTCCGTTTTAACTAACTTCTAGACAAAACTAAAAATAAGGAAATAATTAACCGAAAAAATGTGCTTGAAAGAAGAGAAGATAGTTTTATTTTTCGAAAGTAGTGACGCTTCTTTTTCGGAGAGTCTAAAGCGATTTTTTTTAAGTCTATTTGCAAAGGTGTTTTTTAAATTTTTAATAATTAATTATGTAAATTTTTAGCGTATATTAACATTTTTTTTTAATTTTCAAGGTCTTTTTTTGTATACCACACACAAAAAAAGAAAGAAATAGCGAAAATCAAATCCAGAAGGCCGAAAACACCCAGTGCAGTAAACTGGTACACGTTAAATCTGTCAGGTCACAAAGTTCCCCATATTCCCATAAGAAATTATGCTTCTGGGGGTACTGAATTGGTCTAAGTTATGATCTGTTGATAAATGAATGGGTTCATCCTATAAAACGTGTGTGATGTATGGGTGTGGCAGAAGTCGAATTGTTAGCCATAGATATCGGTACTGAAAAATAAAAACAATCACACCCCTTGCCTTAATAACCCACGACAACAACAACAAAAAGTAGCAAAACCAAAATAATCATATTCATCCTCACAAAAATATTACTAATTGTTTCTTAAATTGCCAAATTCAATCAGTTTTTAATAATTCTAAATGATATTACGATAATGTTTTTGCAGCTTATTTAACTCAATTGGGCAGAAAATTTAAACTAAGTAAAAATTCATTTAAAGAGAATAAAAAGTTTTCCTAAAGAAACCACGTTAGATTAAATTATATCTTGATAGAGTTACCTTAGAAAACAAATATTTTAATTTCAAAGAACTTCAATTTGAATTATTGAAAAATAATTACATTTTAAAAAATGTATTAATAATGTAATTTAAATGATGACACATTCCCATACATTGACAGCAAAACTTTGTTTATATTTTTTTTTTATTAAATTAAATATTTTTATAAACGTTTTATTTTTAAGAGAAAACAGTGTTGTTTAAGTTTCTTAGTTACAAAGTTTTGCTTTAAAAGTCTTATTAATATTATAAACATAAAATAGGGAAACGAAAACCATGAGTTCAAAAAAATGAGAAACCGCAATAATAATAAACATTAATATAATAACAGTAAAATGAAAACTTAATTTGCGAAATAAATCACCTAAATGTGTATCAAATATAATAATACATTTCAAACCTACATACAGAATTATAAATTGATTAAATAAGGGTTCATACGGAGATCAGAAGAAAAAAGCCAAGGAGTCCAAAATTTAAAGCACTTGTCAAAATTTCGCTTAAAAGATAACTAGAATTTTTTATATATATATATAATTGACAAGCACTTATTACAAAGAACTTGAAAAATTTACATTTTGCATAAGATATTTTTTTCTCGTCCTCTTGAAATAAATTTTGATTTTGTCAATCTTCATTAAGAAAAATAAAATTGACACCTTCATACATAAATAAATTTTCCAGTTTCAAATATTTTAATAAATCTTGTTTAAGTACATAATTACAGAAGTTAAAGATTTACATAAAAACCTGGCCAATGTCATATTTTGAATACATAAGAAAATATAAGACATTTTATACAAAAAATAAATAATATTAAATAAATAAATAACATAAATCGTTAATTAAGTTTGCTTGTAACATGAAAGTTATTTGTTGCTATTTTTTTCTTCTAACTCTTGCAATTCCATTTTTTTTTCTTCTAAAGTTTTTCGCAAACTATTAGATTTTGATAGCAAAGTCAAATCATTTAGTTTCTCTGCTTGGTCAGCAAACTCATCAGGGGATTTTGTAAGTTCATCTATACAACGCTGTAAACATTTTATCTTTTTGTTAATGTCATTTAGAGCGTGCTGGTCATCAATTTTTTTGTTGTTGCATTTTCAGCATTTTTATCTTCAAGATATTGATTGCAGCGTTGCCTCACCATCATTACAGACTTTTGCAAATCTTCATCAATGACAACCTTTGTCACATCACCATCCCAGCCATTGATGTGATCGCAACAAGAGTTTTCTTTTAAATTTTCCACTTCTATTTTCTTGTTAATGCTAAAACCTCTTTCCACAGTTGTCCAATCACGGTCAAAAAATTGACCGTGATTTAACAGAATAAACTTTTTGATGCATGGCCAAACTTTGAAATGTTTTATTTCAAAATAAGGAGAAAAATATTCATCCTATCTCATTTTTTCAGGATCAAAATTTAAAAAATCTACAATATTTTCAGAAACTGTCTCATAGAACATCACAATCAGAGATTTTTTTTATCAGATTTAAATATGCCAAGCCATGTATGAGACATTTCATTTTGGTTAAGCATCCTCGTTTATCTCCAACTAAATTTTTTTGGAATCAAGCAAGACACACAATGCTACACTTAGCTGGCGACTTGGAAATGATGACAGATACCATTTTAACAAGAGAAGACTTTAAATCTTTATGCAACAACAATATTTGCATTTGATAAATGTATTTAATAAATACAAACATTTGCTTACCTTCAAAGAAATTAATTGATTAAGAGTCTTTTTAATATTCGATGTACTTCTTGATTTCAAAAATCGCGCTCAATTTATTTGGAGAATGATGAAACAAATAAAGTAGCAAAATATTTTAAACTCTAATGCAAATATATTGCAAACCCGATAATAAAGCAATTAATAATTTTAATCTAAACGAATGGTAATCAATTAAAATAAAAGTAAACGAAAAAGAGCTTCTTTACTAAATTAAAATTAACATTGTATTTTAATGTAAAAATGAAATGAACTAAAAAAAACGCATTGAATTGTGAGAGCACCTTTATGATGACCTGAATATGACCTAGGGTTTATGGACACTAAATAGTCTATCGAGTAATGGTAACACTTAATTTACGTTCATGGAGAGCTGCACAAAGAGCAATTGGCGATGGTCTGAGAAACATCCCCAAGGATGACCTGAAGACTTGGTGTTTTACTTTGATTGACTTTGGTGTTTTACTGGGAACAGTATCTCTATGATCAGTCCAATGCGGGACAAATAGTCCTTTGAGAATAAATTATAAATATATTAAAACGAATTTCTTCCAAAACTAAGAATTTTTATTGATTCAGAAAACAAGATCATGTTACAATATTCAAAAGTTGGCTATAAAATACTAGTGATCCCACTAATATAAAACATAATGTTATGCCAAATACAATGTAGAAATGTTCTACGCATCCAACAGGTAATTCAAGCTTTACTTCATGAGTCTCCTAAAAAAATTTTAAAAATATAAATAATTAAAAAAACATGTTATAAAAATTTATATAATAATATATAATGAAAAAAAAAAACACTTCACAATAAACTTAGTTTTCCTGGAAATTTGAGGAGAGAATTAATTATATAACAATGCTGGAACTTTTTTTTCTCCAATTTTATATAACTACTTATTTTGAAATGTATCTCTATTTTCATTTGATAAATTTCATTTCTGTTCCTTGGTTAATCATGAATATTATTAAGAAAAATAGCATAATTTATTCTTTAAATAGATTTCTTAAATAATTATAAAACATGCATTTAGAAATTTGTGGAAATATTTAAATATAAAAAAATAGCAAATCAAAACATAATTTTTAATTTATAAACACACATTTTAACTTCAGTGCCTATTTTTTGATGATTTGCTGTAATGTGCAATTATCAAGCATGGGATATTAGTTAATTTCCATAAATTAATTAATTTATTATTATTGTTGCAGCATAAACAGAGTGTTTTAATAGAATAAAAAAAAGAACACATTGAAAATATGGTGATAAATCTCAATCATGCACGCTAAATTCTACCCTCCCACCTGCAAAAACAGAAATGGGATTCAGGGGTTTGATTCCTTAAGTAGCAGAGAGAGTACAGTACACTATGCGAATGGGGTGTGCCTTCCTAAATTAGACATCAATAAGAGCTCAAATTTTATACAGCACCTACTTTTTCGCCAAGAGCAGACATATTTGGCCAAAAGTGGCAACTGAATAATGTTGATGGACAAAATGTATTTAATATAGTTTCGTTTAAAGAGCCTTTTTAATATTCTGGTTGTAAATTAAATGGATGGACGTTTTTTTAATTGTCTACTTTGACGCTACCTTTAACAGATTGAATTAAAATAGTGGAAGCAAGCAAGATCATAATTTATTTTTGTTTGGGGGGGGGAATACCATCTTCTGTTTTAAATTTGAAGCGTTAAATAATTGTTAAGCAATCTAATATAAAACTCTGACCTTAATATATAAAAAACGCAAGGGTAAAAATAAAGTTTTTAACGCTTCATGTACATTTAAAAACAAATTAATATTTATTAAAACCACGCTTTTCAAGTGGAAAATAGCATAATAGGATAACAAAATGATTGGAAACAATTTTATTTTCCTGAGTCCTAAAACAAAAAATGTAGAGCTCAGCATTTTTGAAAGACGTCAGGGGTAAGGGCAGTTTTTCAAAAGTGATAGAAGTGTTTCTATTTTGAATTATGCGCTTTATGTTAGTTAAGACTTGATATTCAATTTAGTTCGACAAAAATTAAAACATTTAAAAAAAGTAATTTTTAAAATTTTTATTTTAGTTTTATGTCTGTAAGTTTCTTTGAGTTTCTACTTAAATTTCGATAGATAAAGTAGTGATAATATCGCCCTTAATTTTATTCGCATTATTTTTAAACAATAAATTGGATTAGCATCAGGCACTAGTCGGAATTTTAAGCGCGATAGCTTGTTGGAAGGGGATCAAAATTTCGATGGGCATTAAGTTCACTTAGACTTTGAAATAGCTTAAAGAGAAATCTGTTAAGAGCAGTTTAGAATATGTTTGATACTTGTATTATTATCCAACATAGAACTCTAATTAAAATTTAAACACAGTAGCTAGTCAAAAAGTAGTCAAAATATTTATAGTACCAATAAATTTCAGATAAGATAAGAGAGGTAAATGCTGCTCGTGTTGGTCAGAAAAAGATTAAAACTTATATTGTTCTCTGACACAAAACTACAGTTGAAATTAGAGAACCTTAGTTATTCAGAAGGTGATCGAAAATTTGGACATACAAAATATTATATTTGTTAATAAGTCTTATTGTAGCTATAATGATACCAATGAAACCTCCATTGCCATCATGAATAGTGTTACAAAAAGAGATTTAATAGAATAAAAAAAAGAACACATTGAAAATATGGTGATAAATCTCAATCATGCACGCTAAATTCTACCCTCTAAGTGAGTGCACTGGCTAGTTAAAAAGTGGTCAAAATTTCAATTACAACATTTTCCCATTACAGATCCGAATGTGATTTAATCAAAACTTTATTAAAAATGAAAGAAACGTTTTTAATGAATTTGAGTAATTAAATTATGAAAATTAAACGAACAGTTTATTAAAAACAAACAATGTGCCCCCCCCCTCGTGCTACACCTATGCATTCAACACTTGCTGAGGAACCTAAATTATTAAAATGAAATTAGAATTAAAAAAAAAAACAACTAAAACTTAATAAAAGTACACAAATTATTTAAATATAACCAAAATTTTATATTCCTTAATAAACTAATTTTAATCTTAGAAAAACTGTATCAAGGAATTAATGAATTAATGTTATGATCTACAACAGTTTCCTTTTCTCATGAATATTTTCTTGAAGGGCCAGGTTTCGAAATTTTAAATTTTATTCTAATCATTGTTCCTTTTTTTTAAATGCTTCTTTTTTTGTTTAAAAAATATGCGAAAACAACTATGAAAGAACACTACAATGTTAAACTCAGTAATAAGTTAAATCAAAACCAAAAATAAGTTTTAACTTCAGTAAATTTTATCAGAAATACATTTAATGTAAAATGAACTAAGTAAAAAAAATAATGAAGTATTTAATTATGTTATATAAAAGCACAACTCACTCTAAAATTTAATGAAAACTATTCTAACAAATCTTGGTTAATTTTTATTTTATATGAACTTAGCAATTTTATGTCTGGTCATTTTTTTAAAAAATTTCTTCTTATTTCATATTTTCTTCTATAGTCTTGAGAATCATCAATTTTTCATCGAAGGAACCTAACTTCTCATGCAGTACTTTGAGTTAAGTTGTATAAAAGTATAGATCTAATTTTTACATTGAAAATATGAAGGTAAACTTTGCTTTATCTTTAACATTAGAACTTGCATTCTATTAAATAATTATAAACTTAAAATAATAATAATAAATACTGTAAATGAAATTGTATTCAAATAGTCAATTTATATTAAGAACAAATTACAAGACAAAATAAAAATTGTGACTTGAAATAGTTTCTAACAATGCAAATATAATCATGGGTAACAAATAGATACAAATAAAATAATAGGTAAATAATTACTATTTAGAGAAAAAAATATTACATAAAAGAGCTTAAAATTGCAATAACTTTGAAATAAATAAATAAATAAATCTCGTTAATTTTATAATTTAAGATGGTCTAATCAGCACATATTTTTTACTACATGTTTAACAGCTAATAATTCTCGAAGTAACAATCACATCGTAAATTTTTTTATTTCTTCAAAAACTTTTTGACGTAACTTCGTAATTTCAAGCTTCTAAGTTTTGTAGTTTTAGCGTGTCAAAATAATATGCAATGTAATAACATAAAAAAAGTGAGAAAAAATCGTAAAAAAAGCACTTAAAATTGCAATAACAACAATTTTGGAAATTTCTAACTCAGTTAATTACTGAATAAGGCTTTTTCAGCATGAGAAATTTCAACTAAATATTTGCATTCCTCTGTATGGTATTTTTTCCTACAAGTTTAATAGTTAATAATTCACGCTCTAATTATCAAATGTTAATTTTTTTTTCTATCACAATTTCTGTACATTTTTTCACACTCTTTAGTAATATTGAGTTTCTAAGTCATATAGTTTTTATGGAGAAAGCCAAAATGTAATGTATTGTACACACTAAACCCCTTATGATTTTTAAATATAGAGAGATAATTATTTTGAAAATTAGTTTTTTATTACAATTTATAAAATATATTTTTTTGAAATAGAAATTATTTTGTTGAAAAAATAGTCTCAATAAATAATACATTACTAAATTAAATATATTTAAATATTGATGCAAGTTCTATGGATAGAGCTCAACATTTTAAAAAAGAACTTATTACCATTTTATTATATTGTCTTTAACATATCTGCTCTATTAAACGATGTCAGAAATATTGAAACCTAATCTTAAGACTAAAAAGGTTTGTAAAAAATTACATGGTAAATTTAGTTCATTCAATGTAATTTAATCTAATGCCATTCAAATACATTCTATATAGAAAAAAAAAAACAGACATTTACTACACAAATTGCAACAAGCGACATAAAATTTTTAATTTATTGGAATTTAATCAGAAAAATTATTTATAGAAAAGAAAAACAAGCATTTACTACACAAATTGCAAAAAATTACGTGGAAAATTTAATTAATTGATTGGAATTTTATCAGAAATATTCTTAATAGAAAAAAAAAAACATTTACTAGATTTGAGGCATGCATTACGAGTTACGATACATTTTAACTTTAACTGGTTTTTGTGAAATATTTTCAGATTGGATATTTAATGATAGAAAAATGATTTCATTCCATACTAACAAAAATAGTGTGAAATTAAATTGAACTTATAAATATTTAGTAAAACTTCATTATTTCATGCTAGGTTTTTGTTACTTTTGGAAGTGAATATTAGCAACACAAATCAAGATAGAATGTTATGCAAATTAAAAGCTTTTCAGATTTTTTTCATTAGGTGGAATATCCTAAGAATAGGTTGCATCTAGGATGTCAAGCCGTTTATATGTGACTTCCTCTGGAAGTCACAGAATCCTAAAGATGAATACTTTCAGGATGTCATAAAGAAATCAGTGTGTTGTGTAGTACAGGGCCCGAAATTAACGGTGATCCAACCAGTAAAATTTATCTTGGGCCACCATAAAATAATTATGAGTGGTCTTTCAGACCAACAATTGATGAAAAGGAATGATAAGCTTTTTTAATTTTGGTTTGTAACAAAATAGCATACTTCATAGCATTACGCATTCTCTGTGCATAGTTATTTAAATCCACTTCCTAAACTTAAAATTTTTTTTTATAGAGATATGCAAACGGATCAGTAAAATTGTATTGACAAGTAGTATCTTTTAGTTACTGATCCTTAGAACTGACGACTATTTATTTTATTTACTCTTGTAACATATTTATTAGTTTCATGTACTTACTGTGTCTAGATGTTTCCAAGAAGTTGCTTTAATTGAGCATACACCATTTGAAGAAATACCTAAAGAGATTTGAATTAAACAAAGGCTCAAATGCATAAGAAAACAGTGTATAAAAAACATTATAAAGGAGATCACTATTAATAATTCTTAACTAATAACAATTTTCTCAATAACAAGGTCTCAAGCAGCCTTCACATATAGTATGTTACCTGGTTTCAGCAAGCTTTGCTCACGATCAGTAGCTAGTTACGAGGTGGATTGATGCTGTTTTTTCGGCTGAACCTTCCTGTTTTACGCAAGGGATGGACCAACAGGAGGTAAGGAAGTGTAGTTTGTCTTTTACTTAGAAAAAGAAACTTAAAAAATTGTGGAAATCTTTTATATCTCTGTTTTTAGCAGAATGCAAACTATTAATTTACACCTCTTAAATTTTTTCAACTATCAAACTTTTCTTTGTTTTTGATTATCATTTTCAACATTTGGAAAAGTTAATACAAGCATCTTAATGCTTTTCTATTGTTAAAAAGTTTGCATAAATATCTGTTAATTGTAAAGTTTATGCTATTGAGTATTTTTAAAAATATACATATTTCTGAAAGTTATTTATTAAAATTTTTATTTCATTCAGTCTTTCCTATCAAATAGACCAGATTAAAAAAAAAGCCTGAATAGTCATACCTGCTGGTGCTTCATTAAAATAAACATTTGACAGATCAAGACTTATCCAGACTTTGTCACCATATATAGCACAGGAGTGAGGTTTCTGATATCGCAAGTGAATTGGCAAATCGAGCTTGTAATGAATATTATCCTGTGACTTCAAGAGAGCTTTAAATTTCAAAGCCTTGGCCCTATGAGCTGGATATTCAGTGTTGATACTTTCTGAATTATCAATCTGAAAATATAAGAAACATTTCTAAATAAAAACTCTATTTCGCTGTAATGACATTTCCTACATTCTCTAAACATTCAACATTCTCTTAATTTAAAAAATGCAAAACATTATGAATAAAAATTTTGAAACGTGCATATCGGGACATGCAGTTGATGCTTAACAGAATACTTTCTGTTGTCAAGTGAAAATGGTAGGTACTTTATTTACGTTACACTAAAGAAATTAAAATGGATATTACAATGAGAGATTGTGACATCGTAAGATTATAAACCATCCCTTTTTCTTCCATGTTGACATAAAAATACTAAAATAGACAAATCTCACACAAAAATGGCAAATAAAAATTTTTAAAACATGGCAAATAAAGCATGATACATGCATTCATTGTAGCCTTTGAAAAACTTTTTACAAAGAATGTATTCTTTTAAACCTAATTATATTCTTTTAAATAGAACAGGTGTATTAAGATTATAAGATTTTTTCACTCTCTTCTTCACTGTTACAATGGTTTCTGCAAATATTGCCTTTCATCCACATTGTGGGGTAGCTAACAGAGGCAAGAGGGTATATCTGCACACAGGCATAGCTTTAAAGGGATGTCAAATTAAAAAAAAAAAATGAAAAATAAGTTAAAGAAAATTTTAAAATTAAATGCTTTACTTTAAAATATCCTAATTGATATAAAAGCCCAATTGAAATAAAAAAGCATTGATATAGGGCATACCGGGAAGTGGCACTTAACTAGACCTAGTATATATTTTGGACATTTCCCAAAGTGACTGTCAACATTCACTGGTGGAAGTCAACAACCACCAATTTTGATCATTCATAGTAACATATATTTTCCTAACGTTTTGACCATAGAACAAGGAAATGAACCATAGAGACCATAGAAATTTTGACCATAGAAAATTTACTATATCCCTTAACCTTTATTTATTTAATTCCAGGTGCTTCGCCTTTTATGTCAAAAGAATGGTAATTTATATAATTTCTGGGAAACTTTTGCAATTAATTGTCAATGGAAGCACTTTTTTAGAAACTACTAAAAATGCCTAACACTTATTTTTCAAGTGATTTGTTTGGGAAATGAAACTCAACTTTGGCTATATATAAATGAATTGTTCGGTTTGATATTTTTAATTTCACTAAATTAACATTAACTCTAAAAACACAAAATGGGACTTGATACATTGGCTGTTATAATGGAACCATTGCTGACATAAGGAAAGAGATTTGTAATGAAAGATATGATGAAAGAAAGGCTGTTAATTTTAATATTGATTAATTTAAAAGTCTGATTTTAAGAATTAGACATACTATATCTTATTTTAAGCTTTATTTTCAAAATGTTGATAAACAAATATTGACCTGAATAAGTCCACTTTTTAATTCATTAGCCAGTTGATAGGGATCAACAAAAATGTCAGGTGGTAGGTTTTCTTCAATCAACAGGCAAATTGTTCCAGAGACATTATGAGCAACAACACTGTATGATAATGATCTGAAAAGGCATATTATAGGTTATTGCACTAAATAAATTGTCAATAATTAAACTAAATAATTTTGTTTAAGTAATTACAAATAATTCAACTATTATCAAAGACAATAAGCAGCTGCCTCTTGGAATAAGATCAGTTCTTTCATTTACAGCTCACAAGAACAAAAATACACTTCACCAAATAAAAATTTCATTAAGATATTAATTATTCAAAATACTTGGGATCATACCTACTTTTGATAACATATATATATACATAATAGTATTCACATATAATGGCAACTTAATAAATATTTAACTCTTCTACAAGTGTATTTCAAGCATTAAAAAGCAGAAAAATTCCATTAAAAAAACTAATCACTGTTAAATTATAAAAAAAATTTAAATTTGTGATCATATACAATATTTTATTTAAATACTTCTACTTTTCATATAAATTATATGTCAAATATGCTAAATGAGAGAAATCGAAATAGTAACACATGTCTTCGTTAAAAGTAAGTCAGTTCTTTTTTACGAAATAAGTTATTGTTTTTACTATTTATTCATTTCACACCCTTTGAAAAAAAAAAGACACTCTTCCAGTGTGTGTAGAACATTAAAAGAAGAAAAATGAAAGCACTCTTCAACAAATAATGACAAGATGTATGCACACATTGCTTCCTTCATGCAATTGGAAATTTGTAAGAATTGCTTCAATTGAAAGCTGAATGATGACGCATAAATAGTTATATATATCATAGTGCGTCAGTGTTCGAACAAGATGTCTGTGATGCAACTGACCCTATGCAGATCACCCTTGATAGAAGCCACTTATCTAAAGCAGGCAAAACTGAACAGTCAGAAAAATGTCTGTATGAATCAGAAAAAGAATGAAACAAGATTTCCTTGATTTCTGCCAACCACTTTTGAAAGATGCAGAAAAACTATAGTATAGAAATAATATACATGACCTCTCTTCAGATATATATACATGCCAAATATGTGTAAACATTGAGGAAAATTTTCTTTCTTTGCTTCATGTAGCCTTTCCCCCACAATAACGTCAATGCATTTGACTTACAGGAAAGCTGGTATGTATAGTAATCAACATAAAGTTTCATAAAAATAAAAACATTTTTTTTAAAAAATTGGAGATTTTCAAACAAATTTTACTAAAATAGGTGGTGACAAATAATTAATATTGCAATATAAAAAGTTAATTGTAATTGCTTGCTAAAAATTTAATTGGGATTATGAGTTCACACAAAGTTTTTCATTTAATCAAAACACAATTGATCATGAAATTTGAGAAATATTGAAACTAAAATTATAACAACAAAGTTTAATAATAAATCCTTGTAAATCATTTAAATGGAGATATTTTTGTACACTAACTAGGAAGTAGAATAAAATAGTAATAATAATAAATTTTGCAATTTCACTCCACATGTTTCGAAGATAAAACTTACAACTATTTAAAAACATTTTCAAAAATTGACAATAAAGCAGAACGACTATACGAAGTAACTATTTTACAATTTATTAGCAATATACCTATGGAAACCTAAAGTTGAAACAGATTTCTGTAGAACAGCTAAGTTAGAATGAACTTCGTAACATTTATTTAACAAGAGTAGAGGAATAAAACAAAATGTTAGAAAGACCATAGTAGAAGTGAATTAAGGCAGTCTAAAATGTTTGTTTCTTTTTGCAAAAATATCTTCACCTGTAAATGTTTCCCATACATAACTCAATATAGTAACGGATGCCAAAAGATTAATAGCTTTAAAACGAACATAGTGATATTTGACTAGTGAAGAATCGGGGAAGGTTTCCTTGGATTACCGATAATTTTCATTCATTGTCGCAACTTTTGTTTACCTTTAAAGCGATTGGTTTTGTTCTATTTAGGTTATGCGCATGCTGATTTCACGCTTTCGGCTTTCTATCGGTAATGGCTTCATCTTTTTTAATCCATGAAAGCTACAAGCACATTTGTAAAGCAAAGCTCTAAAACGAATCGCTTACAGTACTCTTCCTTCCCACGTTTGTTTATTTCCGAAAATTTTTGATATAACGTTGCTGAAGAATTTTCTTGCGTAATTTTTTTTATGGCTGTCGCTCCTACCGAGTTAGGTTTTGTTGAAAAACGGGCACCATGGAAGTTACGTAGTAAATTTTTTCCAAGTAAAGTCGGTGGCTTTCCAGCCTGGTTAAGGTTAAGTAATTTGCCGAATCGCACCGATCTTCTGTGTCAGGTATGCAATCATCCCCTAACATTTTTACTTCAAGTCTATGCTCCAGTTTTCGAGTTAGAAGAAGCTTTCCATCGGACTATTTACATATTTATGTGTCGAAATAGTAGCTGCAATAAAACATCGAGCAGAATCAATTTTTCTGTGTTTAGAAACCAACTTCCTCGAAAAAATGAATTTTATTCGTTTGAACCTCCCGAGTTTAATGAGAAATCGTCTATGCAACCGTGTGCGGATCAGTTTCAAAAGATGTGTGCCATCTGTGGTTGTTGTGCTATATTAAATTGTCACAAATGTGCCCAAATAGATTATTGCTGTGAAGATCATAAAACTCTGGACTGGGAATGGAATCACATTCACAATTGTCCAAGTGAAAAGAAAGGTAATTTTACTTTTCAGTACTGATTTGGTTTTTAATCAACTTCCAATTATTTGTATTGTTAATATACGTGTAATACTCTAATTAACATTTCATATTTCCTATCCTTTTAATATTTTTTTAATAGTTTAATATTCATATTTTAAAGTCCCCAATCTCTTTCTAAACTCTTAAATCAAATAATTAATTCTTATTCACATTTTTAAAGAGGGAATGAAAATATTTTTGCTCTTTTTCTTTTTGAATTAAATAGCAGCTGATTCTTTATTTCAATGTAAGTGTTCAAATAATACATTCTATCATAACAACAAGTGAGGGGTAGCTTCTAATGTGATTTAAAGCAGAACATTAGTTTTTTAGTCATTTTATATCGAAATTGTAACTTCTTTAGCTTTGTGTCATTTATTATAGAAAAACTTTTAGAAAAAGAATTATAATATTTTGCAGCTATGAAGTCTTATGTCTGTCGCAGGGTTGGCAGAAAATCAGATTTTAGGGGAAAAAACCTGTTTTTTTTGGTTTAAACCAGGTTTTTCTCAACATTCTATTTTCAACTAATTTTAAAAATGAAAATTACTTCCAAGAACAATTAAAATAAATAACAAGCAATTATGTCAAACCACACTAAATTTTATTACAATTTTTATATTTAAATGCAGGATTGGGAAAAAAAACAGGAAAAGTTTAGAGAAATTTTTTTTTACCATTGAAAAACACTTAGCGCTTAGTATTCAACATTTTGAACAAAAAAAAACAAGTTTTGCAGCTTTTTCTAAGCCCAGTCTGTTACGCAATTTTATTTGTACAACTCCAAAAGTTGAAAAAATTCTCTCAACATTTGCTGTAGTTCCAGTCAGTAAGAGTTACTTCAACTTCCTTAAACACATTGGCATTAAACTTCTTAATATCGTTTTCTTGCATTCGCCACCGTTCTATAACTGTTACATTATCAATAAATTCCTTTTGAAACAGATACCTTTGGAATGGAAAGCTTCTTGCACAAAATTTTAATATCAGAGTTAATAAGTTATTTATAGGAAACATATTCTTGGCATATTCTAAAGCCCTTTTTTTTTTTTTTTTCGTTTGCTGATAACTCGTTATCTTCTTCATCATCTTTATCTACAGCTTTTGGATGCAACAGAAAAGCAAGAAGGTGGGCTGGTGTTATTGCCATGTTATAGCGATGATCTAATTTCCTCAGTACATCTTTATTGAATTTCTTATCGTGCATTTGCTTTTTTAAGAATTAAAACAGTCTCTCCAATCGAACAATTTTCTCTCTGTGCCCTATCCAGAGCTACACTAATTGGTTTTAACTGCTGCAAGTAATCTTCTGCATTTCTTTTCAATGAAATGTTAATTAAATTTTGAAAATTTTTAATCTTAATTTTGAAATCTGATCTTTATAACTTTCACATATGTTTACTAAAATGGGTCAAGATTTTAGATACCTCTCTTATATAATTATAAATAAAAATGCAATTTTAAATTATTCTTAGGGAAAAAACGAAATGGTTTTTTTTTCTAAGAAAAACCATTTGGTTTAAACCATGCCAACCCCGATCTGTAGAAGAACTAACAAGAATACAAGACTAAATTGATACAAAATTTTTAAAAAAAAACTAAGCAGGGATTTTTAATCAGAAGTTTCTACTATTGACTTCCAAATTTCAGAATTAAAACAAAAATTATAGTTTTCTGTGTTGGCTAAGTAAAACAAAATGTTATAATTTTAAAAATAAAAANTGAAAATTTTTATCAATCTGATCTTTATAACTTTCACATATGTTTACTAAAATGGGTCAAGATTTTAGATACCTCTCTTATATAATTATAAATAAATAAATAAAAATGCAATTTTAAATTATTCTTAGGGAAAAAACCAAATGTTTTTTTTTTAAAGAAAAACCATTTGGTTTTAACCATGGTTTAAACCATGCCAACCCCGATCTGTAGAAGAATTAAGAAAAATACACGATTAAATTGATACAAAATTAAAACTAAGCAGGGATTTTTAATCAGAAGTTTCTGCTTTTGACTTCTAAATTTCAGAATTAAAACAAAAATTATAGTTTTCTGTGTTGGCTAAGTGAAACAAAATGTTATAATTTTAAAAATAAAAAAATTTCTCTTTTGTATGGCATATATTTCTTTTGTCATTACTACCATTTTTTCTCTGTATTGTAGTGTATTTTTTAATTTAAATAAAATATACAACATAATTCACTGTATATTTTGACACTGTCAGCACATCTGGAAAAGTCTGGGAAGAATTTTGCTCTTCTATTTGAGTAGCAAACCTGGTTGAAAACAATATACCTTCAACTCCTATGACAATCCACATACTAATGGTGAAAGCATACCTAGTGTTGAACAAGGTATAGCGTTTTGCTGTGCACCACCTTTAGCCCATTTCAAGCGCCAATTCTTTTCTATCAATATGACCTATTTTTGAAACAAAGGTGGACATTTATAAAATTGTTTATTGAAAATATTTAATAGTAAAATATTTAATATTAACATAAATTTTTGTAAAGTTTTTGTTCATTCATTTCTTGACAAAAGTTGTTAGAACATTTCGAATTGGAAGGATGTGATATAAGAAATGTGGCACTATTTACATATTTCCTATTCTTTTTAGAAATTCCAGAAAAGAAAAAGTTAATAAATCACTTTCTTTTGTCTGAGTTTGAACTTGTGACTGAGACAGAAGAGTCCTTACCTGATGTTCCAGAAAAAAGTGATGAAGAAAAAATGAAAGATTATCAAAAGTTCTTGCAATCAAGCTCTTCTAAAGAACTACAAGATATGCCTGTAGGTGATTTAGGATATGTGGAAGAAAAAAAAGATAAAGCTTTTAACAAATTCCAAAAGAGAGTAAAACTTGAACCTGAACAAGTAAGTAATTTTACAAAGTTAATTATAATAGTACCATTGCTTTTCTTTTTAGTTTAGTTTTTTTTAGTAACTGTTAAAGAAATATGTTTCCAACATTAACAATTTTTGACCTCATGATCAGATTTGCATGCCCTGTTTTATACTATTTTCATATATTGAGAAATACAATGATAAAAAAAGGGTATAATCCTATACTTCTGTTCCAATTATTAAATTTTCATGTTCTTAGTAAAAACATAAAAAATTTGAAGGGTCTGTCTTAAATTGCCATAAATTTGTTTACACCTTCTTTTCGATTGAATTTCCTTTGTAAAGAAGAAAAAAATGGGAGTTTTTATTTGTTTACAGTTGTAAAAATCCTTGAATTGAGTTTAACTTAGTATGATATCTGTATGTAAAAGGCAAAGCCCTCACTCGTCACTAATTCTCCCACTTTCCATGCAGTTAGAAAGCTAAAAAAAAGTTTTTTTTCTATGCCATAAAAAGGAAAACTAAAAAATAAAATATTATTTTGTGATTAAGTCTCTAAAATAGGCTTAATTGACAATGCTAAGTCACATTTGTACCAACACAGATGTCTCATATTTACACCCTGTGTTTTTGATGAAATAAATAGAAAAACAGAAAAAGTTTTATATGTATATTTTGTTATTATCAAGGTAGTCAGCCTAATTGGTATAATGCTAAATACTGATATAAATGTCTCATATTTGGATCATGTGTTCTTCAGGGGTGATTGTGCTCCGGAAAAAAATCTGGATTTCCGGATTTTTCGCTATTTGCGATTCGAAAGTTTCCAGAAATCCAAAGTCCAGAAGTTTCAAGAAATCATCGATCACAATTATGTATAAAAATTCTTGTATATTTTATTTAAAAATATTAGAACTAGAATTTATACTTGGCATCTCTTTCATTTGTAAATATTTTTTCTGGTAAAATAATTAATGTGATTAGAGGTAAAGGTGAACTAAATACATAATTATTAATTTAAATTATGCTGCATATAATTTATGTGGACTTTCACGTTGTGAAAATTTCAATGATTTAAATTTATAAAGTTATTAATTTTCTGAATGATTTTGCTCAAGAAATTTTCAGAATTTTTGAGTTGGGCCCACAATTACCTCTGGTTCTTTATAGGAAAATTTAAGAAAAAAATTATGATAATTATTCAGATATTTAGCCTAATTGACAGTAATGTTAAATTACAAGTTTTTACAAAGACTATGAAGTCTCAAATTTGAAGCATGGATTCTTTATGAGATAGTAAGAATTTTCTAACTCATTATTTACAATTTTTATTTTGATATATGTGAATATCATGGTTTTAGTGGGGTAATTAGAAGTAATTAATCTAATTGGCAGTTATGCTAAATAACTATTTTTCCAAGATAGGAAGCTTAACAAATTTGGAACATGCATTCTTTATCAAATAAAAAGAACATTTCAAAAATTTTTATTTCGATATTTGAAACTATCAGGGTGAATAGAGGTAATTAACCTAATTCACTGTTATGCTGAGTAACATAATTTTGCAAATTATTAACATTTGTTTAGTACAATGTAGCTGATTCTGACTGTTGTGCACACCATTAATCCAAGAAGTGGTGAATTCATACTGATAGAAGACTATGTGGAACCTTGAACCATTATTATCCTATTAGCTTGTTATTTATTATGTTGGTGTTATTCTTCTAAATAAAAATTTTATGCTTGCAGGTTTTGAGATATCAAAAAGGTGGAGTACCACTATGGGTATCTTCTGAAAATGTACCATCAGAAAACGATATTCCGAATTGTTCTTGTGGAGCCAAGCGTCACTTTGAATTTCAGGTAATATCTAGGCATGTTCTATTTGGTTGAGTTAAAAGTCATTGTTCTTTTTTTCAATGTTTCAAAGTCATGCATTTATATTAGGGTGAGTCAATAATATATGCTCCCTTTTGTTCTATGACCTTTTGCCATTGTTTGGTGAGCTTCGCTATTCCGCATTCGTAAAAGGATCTACTTCTCTTCCATCGGTAGTAGATTGAATCAACTTAACTTTGACGATCTCCACATTGACAAGTTGTTGAATAAGCTCTCGTCTTACGTGTCTTGAAATTCAGTTTTACAGATCCAGTAGCAGTTTCCAAAGGTGGTGGCATTGTTCTCTTGACAAACTCCAATTTTCCATAAGCAACTCTCATATGACGCTTCATAGTTGAATATTTCTTAGATAGTCGCTCATCCGTTCTTAAAATCATGTTTTTTTTTTCCTTCTTTTTCTAGGGAAATGGCAGTTCAAGCTTCCAGTCTTTAAAATTACGTTCATTAGAAGACATGATATCATAGGCTTCCGTGGGATTTATTCACACTGTACTTTTAAAAAAAGAATGATTTGACTTAATATCTATTTAGATTTTAAATGGAACTAAAGTTTATAGTCATTACTGTGAATCTCATATTTTTATTATGCTCGTACGACACATTCTCAAGATCAGCACTTAACGAACAAAGATCTAGTGTCTTGGTCTGTCGCACTCACTGATATGAAAAAGAAAAACATCTTTCTAAAACACTTGATGCTTTGACATCATATCTCCTATCATCTTATTATTTCACCTCAGATGGACCTTTCTGGCCACGGTTGAATTTCTTATCTGTAAAAAGCATAGGTCTAAGTTTATAACTTGAAAATTATAACCTCTCACACTTTCTGTAATTTTTTATATGTGTGAAGAAAGTTGTGCTGATAGTCATGACCTTTTTGAATTTTACTCTCTATATCTCAAGAAATTAAGTTTAGTCAGGTGGTTACCCTGATTTATCAAGTACTTTTTTATATCTACTTGAAGGATATTTTGATTTTTATATTATCATACACATTTATTTGATTTTGGCTTTGCAAAATTTTATGACATGTGTTGTAATAGCCCACTTTTATTCATTTATTAATTATTGCTTTTTTAGGTGATGCCTCAGTTGTTGAATTACCTGTCCCTAGATTCTGTTCAAGAGAGTATAGATTGGGGAACTTTGATCATTTATACTTGTTCTGCTTCCTGTTCTGCTGGAGTTGATACATATGTTAAAGAGTTTTTATGGAAGCAAGATTTTTCAGATGTATCTCTCACAATGCAACAATAAATTTTGTAGAAATATTTTTTATTTTCCGTTTAAACAGTTGGAGCTTAAATTTAATTAATAATTGAAACTTAATGCATAATGCAATGGATATTATATTAATTAAATTTAAAATGAAGTAAAAACAGGGCTTTTTGGCATTCAATTTAGGTCTTTTAACTCAGCCCTTGTATTAGGGTTCGTAATTGTCTTGATATTCTTCGTATTCGGGTTAGTTCCATCAAAGCACGGGTACAGGAATTCCCTTGGTTTCTGGTATTGATTCAAATTTCCAAGGCTTTATGAACATTGATAGCCATGATCTCATACATTTATTGACTGTTCAACACCAGAAATGATATTCGTCATAAAAAAATAATTTGCTAAATAACCGACGTTTCTAGTTTTTTTTTTTTTTAACCTGTTTGTTTGTCTATTTGTTAATAAAATTCATGGGATGTTTGGAGCCCTTTAATTGTTTCGTTTCTATTGTAAGCTATTGTTTCAGTCTTCATAGCCAGGAAAGAGTTTCAACCTTTTGTTTGGATCTAATCAAAACCGAGAAGAGGTTTGGGAAAACCAAAGGGTAATCTGGGGTCCTATCTATTACAAATTAACCAAAATTCATCAAACATTTAATTATTTCTTTATTGCAAAAAATTTGCGTGAAAAGAAATTGCTGCTTGAAATTTTTAAATCGTTCTAAAACTCTAAATATAATATTTGTTTATTTATAAAATATGATCGATTTTTTGTTTTAATGTATTATACGACTAAGCTCTCGCAACTATATTTTTTCCTGCTTCATAAATTCAATTCTATTAATAAAACACTAAACATAAACTATGGTAATCTTTTATTAATTTTTATATGAAGAAAAAATATTTATTGAGTGTTAAAAATTTTTCATGAAAATAGGCAGAATGAGAAAATTGTGACTTGTTTTGAATACAATCTTTAAAAGTAGTTTTCACTATAATGGAAAATTTCAGTCAATTTGTTTCAGAATCCTTCAAAACCACCAAGAGACATTTTATTACTTTTGTAAGAATGCTAATGATCAAGTTATTTTTAAGCAAAAAAACACTTATTTTCGTTTTTATCTGAAGCAGGGAGTCATATGATTATTCAGGAACTGATGTTACTTGTGTCCATCTGCCATTCCTTTATAATTGCTGTGCGGTGACAGCCATTACGTTTTGGCTTTCATTTGAATTTTAGTAATTAAATCCAACAATTTTAGATAGAAAATAACTAAGTGTGTACAAAGATCAGCATAATAAAAATGTGACTTAAAATTAGTGTTGTAACGAATAGTAATTTGGCCAAATACTGAATATTCAGTCGAATAGCAACATTTATTAAATTTATTTTTTAAAAAAATCATTAATAAATGTTATTCTTTATACTGGGGCTGAATTTTTTTGGAACTTCCCTAACACTAATATCTTTCAGCAAGATACTTTTAATATTAGTTACTAATTTAAAGAAAAAGAAGCATTGTTTTTGCAAAAAAAATCTAGATCGTATGGAATAAAATTGTACATATTTTATTTAAATTGTAAATTTAAAATGTTTTATGTATTTTCGCATTTTGTAGTCGGAAAAACGCGGTAATTATTTCCTATTTCGAATTTTTTAAATCATTATTACATTAAACAAAAATAATTAAAATTCGTTAATCTTGACAGTAATTATAGAAAAAAAGATCGTCGACGAAATCACACGAATTGGACTCAAAGGGATTACAAAAATGCGTGTTTCGTTTCAACATTCGGTTATTATAATAAATAATATCGTATTAAAATATTAGAGTTAAGACTATGTGGAAATCAAGAGCATTAACAATAAAAAAAATTGAATCGGAAAAAACGANAAGATCGTCGACGAAATCGCACGAATTGGACTCAAAGGGATTACAAAAATGCGTGTTTCGTTTCAACATTCGGTTATTATAATAAATAATATCGTATTAAAATATTAGAGTTAAGACTACGTGGAAATCAAAAGCAATAACAATAAAAAAAATTGAACCGGAAAAAACGATGGTAGTAAATACTAAAAAAAAAAAAAAAAAAGCTTCAAAAAGCCAACCCGCTATTTGAATTTCCCACATCGTCTGAAATATATCGAAATATTTAATAACCACGTAAAAATCAATATCAGTAAATGCCAAAAATACCACATGAACTTATGGCGCAAGTTAAGAGCTTCAAAAAATTATTATTTAAATTCGAATTTCACGTGTCGATGCTGACAAATACCGTTATTTTAAAACCCACGTAAAAATAAGTAGCACTCGCAAGATTTGCCGATAAGTCGGGGAAAAAAAGCGGTAAAATCATCACATTTGAAGTAAAAAATCAAATGCGCGATTTGAATTTCACGAATAATAAAATTGCATTAAAAAAATAAAATTTTCGAGTTGAAAATTCGTTGCTAAAACAATTGAACTACCTTAAGAAATAACTATGATGCAGCGCAATCCGATCGTGTCGAATCCGATCGTGCGCGCAACATCATATAAGAAATATTGAACCGATTTCATTTCCACAGATTTAAAAAAAAAAAGCCGTATGAAAGCGAAACGTACCGCAATGATTTATCAATTCATTTGCTACAAATCTGAATTTGTAAGAAAATCCCCACTCACAGTTATTACAATGTAAAATATGGTGTTCTTTAAAAAATATGAGGGAAAGAACACCACCTCTAGATCAAACTATATTTTATATTTCTGTGATCTTAGATTTTTTTTAAATTTTATATTATTAATTTGAAATTCTAGTTAAAGCCAACCAGTCATTGTCAAATGAGAATAGAAAAATTGCGAGCATTTCTTTCCCTCCCGATGCCTCGAGAAATGGATCTTAAGAAAAGAATTTTGCTGAAAAAATTGTTTTTTTACTTCAGAAATGAAAAATCTTTTTGTTTTTCTGCAAGAACTCTGTAACATTCTGCGACAATGTTGCCGTGATTCTACCACGAGGTACATCAATAAGTTTAGCCATTGTTTAAAAATAATGAAAACTTAGCTATATTGTTGGTATGGAGTAAAAGGAAAATAAGAATAATTGTTATCCATTAGATTTTTTAAGATAAATAAAAACAAAAAGTTAATAAGTAAGATTAATTAATTAAAGTTAAGATAAATAAAACAAAAAATTAATAAATTAAAAAAAATTGAAATGGTAAAAAAAATTTCATCTTCCTTCTTGAAACAAAACTTAAGTGCTAAAAATAATATTTTTTTGGGAAAAAAGCATCAATAAAATATTAAGAGAGACATAGTCTATTAGAAAGTCTACCATAAAAAATCACAGAAAAAATAATAAATATACTGAAGTGAAACGGAAAAAGTAAAAATCACTCTTAATTTCTGCAAGAAAAATTTTAAAATTGAACATCTCAGTTTTCCAATTATTGTATTTTTAGGAAAAAATGATGAAAATCGATTTAATTCCGTCGATTAAATAAAAAAGTCGATAAAAACAAAAAAATTTTAAAAAAGAAAAAGCGGTAGAAATCAAAGCGAAAATGGTTCTTAGTTTTTAAATGAAAAATTTCACGCTAAAAATCCCAATTTGATTTTTTCAAAATGCCGTAATTTTAGAAAAAATGTAGATAAGAGAATAACACTCGTTAAAAAAATACTTAGTCATAATAAAAATGCTGATAAGAAGAGTTATTACAAAAAAAAAGCAAAAGAGAGGGACAGAAAACTATTGTTCTTAAAATTTAAATTAAACTGAAAATCATAGTTACGTCTTACCAAGCAGGAAAAAAGTGATAATAAAGGAATTCTTTTAAAATGCTGCTCTATAATAAAGCAGCAAAAACAAAACAAAGAAATATTTTCATTTCCTCAAACAAAAAGTATTGAAAAAAAAAGCGATGAAATTAGCTTTGCCTAAATGTTATTAAATAGCGTAGCAGTACAAAGGTTGTGGTCAGTATAAAGCAACCTACTTTCCATTCTTTAAATTTTGCTTTTTCCATTGTCTTTCAGAATATAAATTTGCTAATTTTAGAGCTCAATAAACATGTGTAAAAACTACTTCTAATATATTGTAAAAAATACGATATTAGATTACTCTTTATTTAATCTGTTCAAATTTAAAAAAATACGTAGTCGAATATTCGGCAAAGGACCGAATATTCGTTATAGGGCGGCTTTGGGGAGAACTTCTCCAGACTAAAAGTCTGCGGCTGTCTGTTGCTATGGTTACAAGTTAGAGCACGACCTATGCCAAGATCAAGACAAAATTATTCACTCCACACCCCTATTCGAAGTGACTTTTCCTCGCAACCGTGGTACCCGCCACGACGCGAGACAGATGTCTGGAGAGTTCTGAAAGCCCTACTTAAAATAACATATTTTTATAATATTTTCTAATAATAATTTGTATGGTACTCACTGAAATTTTTAATGATGGTTCTGAATATCAAAGATTTTTTAGTTCAGTGAAAAAGGGGGGTTAGAATGAGTTATGGATGCTTTATTAATACAAAATAATTTTGTTCTTACATTTTTTAACCGTGTTAATCTTAGTTTTAAGGCATAATTGTAATAATTCTCATTTTAAGTGAAAAAAAGGTTGAATGAATTTATTATATTGATTAGTTTTAAATTTTACAAATGTGAAAAAGCTTGAGTTATTGATTTTTTTATTTATTTATTCTAACTTGAATTTAACGCAGGGAATTATTTTTAGCATATCAGTAGCTTTTTTGAAAAAATGTGATCCCAGCAAAACTTTTAATTCATTCTTTAAAAAAAATTAAGTTAAATGAAGAAATTAATATATTCTAGTACATTTTATTTACTTTTTTTTAATTCATTAGTTTTAGTCGAACAAAAACGTCTAGCTTAATGATTTTCGCCGAAATTATGCGACTAAATTAATTACATTAATTGAAATTTTAAGTATAATTTGGGCAGATCTATTTCAATGCTCTAGATTCTTGAAAGTGTTGATTCGTTTTCAGCGATACTGATAGCTTAACCTAAAATTTTTTCACCCATTTTAATTAAAAAAATTCATTAAAAATATATAATGCATTCATTTTACTATTTTAGAATTCTTCTTTGCAGGCACTAGCAAATAGTTTGCAGAAATATAAGGAGAAAAATTAACAATAACCATATATGGTAAATATTATATTGCAGAAAAGGAATTAAAATGCAAAAGTAATTTTCTAACTTTAGTGAAATTCCTATTTACGCGAAGTATAATATTTAGTATTTAGAATAGATTTGAGCATTATGCGTTTAATACTTAATACATATAGTAAAAAAAAAAAAAAAAAGAAACTGTTTCAGTAAATATTTACCTAATAAAATCCTTTAACTCTAGTACAATAAAACGGCAAAATTAAATATTACCTAAATGTTTAGCATATAGATTGTAATGATGATGAATAGATATTTTTTAATGAACTGATTTATGAAAACACTAATTTCTTTAATGCAATACCGAATAATAAAATCATCCACCCTGTACATTATTTCTATCCAATCTGTAATAGATTTTGATTAAGTAATTAGAGCATATTATTTTCACTTAAAAATAAGTGTAATAAAATAATATTTTCTATGAACTTGAATACCACTGATTTTAGCTGAAAAGAAGTGTTGATTCGCTGAGAAGAGTGTGATTTTAGTGATAAATAAACAGTTTGAAGTTTCAAAACTCCCTCTTCCTTTTCGCACACACTCTCAAAGCCGTAAATTTAATTAAATAAAATTTTACTAATACGACAAAGTGATATCAAAACTAAAACAGCATTGAAATAGCCTTAGCGGATGGAGGCAGCACGTTTCCATTCAGCACATACGCCGTTATAACGAATCAGGGACCGTTTTGGGCAATTTAAATGTTTAATATAATTAAATAAATGCACATTTTTTTTTGGGGGGGGGGAGAAACAGTCAGATTTTCGGATTCATGAGAGAATTTCCAAAAAATTAGGATTGAAATTTAAAAAATTAAGAGACGCTGTAATTATTCATTGCGGAAAATCTTTAGAAGAGAGCAAGGTTCTTACGCACCAGAAGAATCGGGAATTGTTGGGGAAAGCATAATTTCACCTTGAAACCGGGAGACCAAAATGTGGAGTACACTATTTCGCTTTCAATATCGTAATTTGCTCGCCACGATATATTGATAAAGGAGAGTAATATACAATATCTTCGAGTCTTCTCTGTCGGATTTTTTTTCTTCGAATTTTTAAAAACTCATTTATTTATTTGTCTTGCGTGTTTTTGCTATTGCTTCAAAAATATTCAATAAAATGAAGCAAAATATTTGGAGCAATTTAAAATTGATAGCAAAATTATCGCTTAAAAATTTGAAATTTTCTTTTTTCGAGATGTGTGGGTGAATATTTTTAATCTACTATATTTTAAATTATCATTTATTTCTATCAAAATCGAGGTAAATTATGATGCTTTTTTTCCAGCAGCAAATAGTAAGCGAAATTTCTCTAAGGAAAAGGGTGAAGAACGTTAAAAAATGATCCAGTACGATTTTTCAATTTCTCAATAATTTATTACTTTCTATTATCAGCAAACTTGCAACCGATGGCTTCCACTTTCGTGATCGCATACTGTCACTGATGTATGTCAAAAGACATTTTTTTTTTGTCTTTAATTCATTATCAATTAAAGTGAAGTTAATTGATTTATTGAAATTACTTACATTTGCTGACTTGTGAGCTCAATATAGGCTTATAAGTCATTGTCAAGTAGAAAATACAGATAGAACAATTCAGAGAAAGACATCACAAAGAATACATCCAGGGTTACGGTGGGATTCGAACCCGCTACCTCCACGCTTAACAGAGCGTTTGGACCGGCGATACCGCTCGGCCAGGGAGGTCCCGTGAAGTTAATTAAGTTCACATTGTTTACTTCATTTCAGTAAATACATGTGATTTCAAAACGTGTGGAACTGTAATAGTTATAGAATATTCCTCTTATTTATGGAATAGTACATATTTCTGTATCTTTATAATTCGGAAAACAACAATAAGGAATCATCCGAATTACTTGAAATAGTATCATTTGTGTTGACTACTAATAAATTTTTAACTTTTTTTTGGTAAGTATTTTTTAATTTTGAACTAGAACTCAGATATTCTGTTTTTAAGAAATAACATATTGAAATTCATATCGAGATCTCACAATTATAAAGTTTTATTGTGTGCTAAGTCATCTTAAATTAATGAGGGAATAATCTATGTATATATTATTTGAGAATAAACTTTTTAAATGAGGAGCATTTCATTTTGGAATCCAACCCCCGTTGCATTCGCGAATTTCTCTCCACAGCAATCGGATATTCAATGTTTGTGTGAATAGTATGCAGTAGGAATGGTTCTACAAAAGCTTTTCCTTTCATGCGAAGCTGCAAGCAAATCGCTTCTCCGTCAAAAAACGCTGAAACTTTCTTAGTCTCACCACAACTCTACACGTCGAGCTGATAATAAGCAAACTTATTTTCCTGTAAATTTATCTACAGATTAATTCCCTGTATGATAAACCATGAACAAATTTTTTGCTTTATTTTTTATTTTGTATCTACTTAATAATGTAGAATTAAAAGATGTTATTGACCAGCGCATTTCTAAAGCTAGAATTGAGGTATTATTTTGCTTTTATTACATCTTATAGGATTCTTGTGTATGTCAATCTTCTTAAGATTATTATTTCCATTTCCTCTATCATGCTCATTATTTGATGAAAACTTAAAAGAAAAAAAAATCAGAGAATGCGACAAGTCGAAAAAGCAAGTATCCAACCGCGGGCAAGCTAATATAATATATTCTTCAATTTAGGTTCATTTGTCGGGCAATTTCAGTTGGTTCAAGCAAAAACTGACATGAAAAAACCTTATCTTTAGTTCTAGTTCAAAAATTTAACTAAATAGACTACGCTTAATAATTTGTTATATTTTCATTAAAATTTTTTAACGCTTATTTATCCTAGTGATATTTCGGTAAAAGATAAGAATAGGGTGTCTCTCTTGTTTTGACAAGTTTTTATGCTTGAATAGAAAAGAAAAGGGTACTTTACCCAAACGAAAAGAATGCAACTGCGTTTTATTTATTTATTTTAATTTTATGTGTATAAATAAAGTTGTTTTAGTAATTTCTTTCTTTAAAGTTTTATTTTTCTTTAACTTGAAATATATATATCTATCTATCTATCTATATATATATATATATATGTAGGAATAAAAGAAAATAGGGCGCTTCCTCATGTCAAGGCTTGAAAGAGAACTCATTTAACATCATGAAAATTTATCAAAATGTGTAATATTACGTAATAACTGAAATTTAACCTCAACAATTTTTAAATTACCCTCTTATACTGCTTTATGTGTATATTTAAAAGTAATTCTCTCTCATTATCAAAGTAAGAGAAAAATTTGTTGTTTATTGAATTAATTAAAGGTATGCTAAAAGACAATTTCAGTGCTATTATTTTTTATTTTATTATTTTTTTTTTAAAAAATAAAGTGAACTAAATAAATAGATTAATTGATAAACAACTTGAAAGCTTCTTTCTATAATTTAAACTAAAAGTTATGGGAATATATAATTTTCTTTTAAAGGTGCATTTTTTTTTTTTTTAAGAAAAGGTATTCATTTTAAAAATAATTTTGATATTTTAAATCACTTAAAAAATTGATTAATATCATTGCCCCCGGAAAAAAGAGATACTTGTAAGCATTTAACCAGTTAAGAATAATCCTAACAAAGTAAATATTAGTAATAATAATCTGAATTAAACCTTTGAACATAGATAATTTTTCCTGGCTGTAATTATTACTTAAACAGTGAATTAATTTTCTTCCAAAGTGGAATATGAATAAAAAAGCAGTGTTTTAAAGGATGGCAACTTATTTTTACGAAAAAAGCAATGAGGGCGTATTTAAAGGGATCAAAGGGCAGGCTGTTCTTCTAACATTGCTTAGGAAGAACACTGTATGTATATATATTTTTTGGGGAGGGTTTTCTTTATTGACTATTATCCTGGTTTTTATTATTTGTTTCTTTAGATATGAATTATAAACCTAAGAAACGATACTGTGCCTTACACTTAATTGCCTTAGTTACTTTAATTGATTTTTTTCTTTTTTCTTAGAGCTGCGGTGGATGACGTTTGAATCGTCTTCCTGAAGTGAAACGCTTTATATTTCAGGATCTTCCATTATTGTATCCTTTTGATTTATCTATTAATTGAACTTTTGTTTACTGAGTAATTAACATTTCATTATAGAGTTAGTTCTATGAAACCAAAAGCTTTTTCCATGCACAGATATTAAAATTTTTTTTTTTTCTTCAGCAGCAGCATCTCAGGTCATTAAGGATAAAAAATTACAATATAAAATTAATGTCTAAATAGCAAATAATTATTATTTATTTTTAATAACACAGCAACTCCGTTCAAAAGATGAACTAAAAATAGCTTTAGGATGGAGTTGGTCTCTTTAAAAAAAGAAATAGAATTTCGATTTTTGAAAAAAAACTTCAAAAATTTCTACAAAACAGATTTTTTAGTATGTGTGCATTTATATTCTACATATCTTTTCTATTACAATAATTTAGATTTTAATCACATCAATAGTTAAAATTAATAATTCAAGATTAATAATCACATGTTACAATATGTCACATGTGGAGTTACATGAGTTTTTTCATTCCTTCTTAAATTTCCTAACTGTAAACTTTTTTTTATATTTGTATTTACTACAATTAAATAAAAAAACGTCTTACTGTAAAGAACATTTTGCTTTATATTTCTGTTCTATACATATGTATTCAAATTTTTGTTCTATAATGCGGTAAATAAAATCCCCTCTGTAGACTATTCAACAGGTATTATAGAGAAAGTGTTTTTGATTTTTTTCAGTATTATTTGGGGCAAATTTTTATTTTATTTTTTTGAGTGCTGATTGTTGCATAAAATTAAGCAATTGTTATTAAGGAGAATGGTTTTTCAATATTTTTTTTTCAAATATTTTTTCTTATAATATTTTTTTCATAATTTTGAACTGAATAGCACTACCATTGACAAGTTCATTCATTAAATGGAAATAGAGAATTACTGTCTCTAATAAATAATTTTATGTTAGCTTGTTTAAAGATTATACTAAATTTTTTTTAGCATTTTTTAATGCTTGTAATACTTGAATAAATCCATATTATTAATGCGTAAAAACTGCAGAAGAAAGTTATTCTGCATAGTTAAGCGAAAACTATTCCGTTAGTTTAAATTAAGGTCCATTTTTTTACTGTAACTATAAAGTAACTTTTTTATTTTCAAAAGATTAGTTTCATTTTTAAATTATTCTTTCAGCAAACTGTGACTAAAAATTATTTTGAACAATTAGGTTAAAACTAGCTTTAACAAATGAATTTCAAAGTTAATGAAAAATTGAATTTCCTTCTGATTTTGTATTGTTGAACTATCTTTCTAAAAATTTTTAGAGAGAAAGATTAATTTTTAAATTATTGTTACAGTAAATTTTTGCTATTCATTGAAAACAATTGTATATTTTAAAAGAGGAAGCTAAAAGCTAAAACTTTTTGCATTAAAAATCTACTATAATCTGTCTTTTTATCATAAATCATATAGTTATTTTTCTTTGGATCAGCAAAATCATAATAATTCTGTCTTAAAAGTGCCTGATCAGTTTCACTTAATTTCTTGAGTTTTTCAACTGAATACTTCTTGAGTTTTTCAATTAATACAAAATAAGTTAAGTTTTTGAAAATGCATGAGATGAAATTTTTTTTTTTTTTGGTACTTGTCATTAAATTCTATATTCAATTTAATTCCAAAATCATAATTGACTTTAACTTAAAGTTAGTCATAATGCTGAATTCAAACAAATTGGAGGAGCTTCTCCTGAACTGATCTATTTAAATAGAAATGGAGAGGAAATTGAAGTAAGTATTATTTGAATTTTGAAGTAAGTGTTATTTGAAACATATGTTATATGTGTTGACAAAAAAATGTATGTTTCAGACTAGTTTTTTATTGTGTTGTTCGCAATTTATATACCTGTCCTATATTCTTGACTGGCAGGATGACATTTTGATTTTCAAGTTTCTTTCAACCTTCTTGTCAGAAGTTAATATTTTCCTAATTGTTACTATTCACTCTTTACGCAATCCACTCTAATTGAATTAACTCTTTTTCATGAACAGTTATGAATGTGCCCAAAAGGTAAAAATATTGCAACTGTGTAAATTTTCAAAAGATTTTTTTCCCTCCAGAATTACATTCAAAATATGCCTCTATCAAAAATCTTAGGTAAAAGAAGTTCTTATTTTTTCTATTTTTATTTGCGACTAAAAAAATTTGATAATAAATGGCTTCAGCTGGAATTTCAATTAGACAATAATAATAAAAATCCAAAATCACGAAATTTTAAAAGATAGTTGTCTCTAAAAATCATGTTCTTTCTATGATTTTTTTTTTTAAAGAACACCCTATTTTACAGTTTAATAAAATTTGATTTTCCGCAGGGATTTTGGTTACAAATTCAGATTTGTAGCAAAATAATTTTTCTATATGGTACATTTTCCCCTATTTTTTAGTTGAAATAAAATTGATCTGATATATTTAATATATTACACAGAAAAAAATTTCAAATCACGCATTGGACTCTTCACTTTATCGCTAATGACTCGCGCCGATCCCGTTGCAAATATATGTGTTGTTTTGATATTTTTTCTGCAATTATTGCTATGAATTTATATTTATTTATTTATTTTTGAATGTCTTCCATTGCTCCATTATTATTGATATTCTCGTGATTTAAAAAAAAAAAATATGTATCTTATGACGGCATGCAAAGTTTAAATCGTGGATTCAAGCAATCACTCTTAGACATACTCAATTTGCACGGATATTCTCGTTAATCTATGCGGTTCTCTTGACATTTATTGCTATGAATTTAAAATTTGAAAAAAACAAAAACAGAAAAAAACAACACATTTTTCGACATTTTATTGATAGTGTTTCTGATTTCCATGGGATTTTCAAAATTCTGGTTATTTCTCAATTGATATTATTTCTACACTCGAAATTTGAATCACTCATTTATATAATCGCTTTGGGATGCATCTAGTATTTCGAATAATTTTTATATAATTATTCCATGTAGTATTTTGATTGTATTTTAGGCAGTTGTTATTGATTTTCATGTGGTTTTGAAATATCTCAATATATATCTGTCAATATGGGAAATTTGAGTTGCACATTTAAATATTTAATGTTTTACATATTGATTCTATCGTTTTTCAGTAGTTTTTGCCATTGATTTCCACATAGTTTTTAAAATCCGATGTTTCTAATATATTATTTATTACAACAACTGATTCTTGAGGTGAAACTCACATTTAGTTAATCCTTTTTTAAGAGTCTGATTAATGTGACTTCACCGTTGATCTTTTTTTTCTTCTTTTTTTTTTGGTAGTTACTGCTATGTTTCACAGTTTTTAATTATTTTTTTTAATGTGATGATTTACAAAATTCGAAAGAGGAAATGACTAGTTTGTTTCCCACCTTCAAAATGCGAGAATATTGTGCGTAATATTAGCATAAAAATATATTACATATTCAATTTAAAAAAATTATATACAATTTTATTTTATCCAAACAAATTTTTTTTGTAAACGCAATGTTTCTGTTACTTTCAAATAGGAATGTTTATATTTGTTGTTATTAAAAGTATCTTGCAGAAAGGTATTAGTACTAGAGAGGTTTGTCGAAGAAAGCCCAATAATAAAAAAAGAAGAAATTCTGTCATAGGGCTCAGAAATCATATTGAAGTTTAAGAATGTATAAAAAATGCTATCAGTTGGAAACTCTTATATCAGTTATGTGAACATATATTGGATGGCACCATTGGAATTTCTTCAACACTAAATCAAGCTAAAGTAATGGGAAAAACTGAAAGTGATCAATAATAGAAATGATCAAACTAATAAGTGTTAATTTAAGTGTTATGCAGAATATAGATTCTACTTTCTTAAAATAAATATCCAATATTTTATCATTTATTATAAATTGTTCATTTTTTTATAATTTTCAGTCTGAAATATTTAAAAAAGCATTGCAAATTTTTAAAATTATATTTATAATGAGATTATAAATGGAAAATTCATTAATATATGTTTTAGAATTTATCTTTGTGTTATTTATAATAATATTTTTATGAGTAAAATATAAAATTTGTTATAAAAATCACTCTTTAATATATCTCCTAAGAGTTATTTTGAGTAGTGAGATAATTTTATTCATATTTTACAGTTTTCTGCTATGAAAACTAATATGCTATTTGTATATGTAAATATAACATCTGATTTCTAATTGTGATTATGATTGGTATGTGATTTGTTAATTTAGTTGTCGTTTTAAAATTTGTCTTTGATATTTTTACAATTTCTTATATAATTATAAAATTATGTTCTCCTTTACATAAAACGTTGAAAGAAGCTGGTTTTTTAATTTCTTATAGATATTCTTAAAATAATTTTTAATAATAAAATTAATAGTTAAAATCAGGGTTGACAATTCACTTCTAAAACTATTTCTTCCTTGCAGCAATAGATACGGGGAAAAAAAGAATCTGGATGAAATGGAAGAAACTAAAAATGATCACTACAATCATTTACACTATTATGAAAATAGCTTAAATTTAAACAAATATAATTTAATATAGTAACTAATAAGTAAATGTAATGTAAAGTTTAATTAACAAAATGTATAGCTGTAATGTATAGTATGTATTAGTAAAGTAATGTATAACTGTAATGTATAATGCAAAAAAATTTTTTTAAACAACTTTCATATTTACTTGAATTTTATATGAATTTAAAAATCATATCATATTATTTAAGTGTCAGAGAGTTCATTCTTAACAGTGTTTAACTATAAAAATCAGCTCACTATTTGTTATTGTGAATTCATTGAATATGTTTAGTATGTTATTTGTTAATTTAGTAGCATAAAGAAAATTTGATTATGATATTTTTAACAGTTCTTAATAAAATAATTAAAAATATGGTTCTATGCTCATTTACGTATAATATTGAACTACAGTTGTTTTAATTTCTTATGAAATTCATTAAATTTGTTAATATCTTTTCAATTATTGCTTTATAGTTTTTACTAATTTGAAAATGATAGATTAACTGTTTAAATGCCAAATTAAGAAAGACTAAACCAAATAACCTAAAATTTTCTGAATTCACTACTAAAGAGTATCTAAAGGTAATAAATAAAAAATCGAGTGAAAAAATTTATGTGTTTTTAAAGTTGTTTCATTTTTGAGATAAGTGACTGAGAATTATTACGTTTTGTCTATTTTACGGGGACTTTTACTTTTTGAAATGTTTGACTGAGACATTTTTTATGACTGTGATCAAGGTTGCTTCACCCAGGTGCTTATCAGTTGGAACAAAATGGTATCAGTTGGAACCTCTTAAAATCAATGAAAATGTAAAAAAAGTTTCTTCAATTTTTTCACTTGGGTTGGAAAGATCCTATTTTTTCCATTGTGGAAGAAACTTACTATTCCTGTTTTGAATAATAGTTTTTTCTAAAATTGCCATCCCTGATTGCATGCGAATAGCTTATGTTGAAAGGAGAACTTTCATGATTTTATTTACTGTAGCAAATTGAAACTGTAGCAAATATCTACAAAATCTATTTGTTTAGATAATAATAATTTCATTATAAGCTCTTAACACTTATTTCTTTTGTCTATTCTAGCGTATTCCTTTGAGTGAGAGAACTCAACTTGAATGTCGTGATTTATTATTGAAGAAAGGATTTTATATGAAAAAAGCAGAAGATGAAGAAGTTCCTGAAAAATATAAAGATGCTCCTTATGATTCACCCCACCAAGAATTGTAAAACTGTTTGTCATTTATTGAATTTATGAATACTTATTTTTATAATTTATGAATACTTATTTTTATTGTTCACCCCTGATTGTATAATTCATTGTTTATCCCACAAAATTTTTACTTTTTTATCTTGGCACTAAATTAGGAAATATATTGGAAATATTATTTCAAAGATTAAATAGTCTTTCTCAAAGGTACAAAAGTTTTCACGAGGACATTAATTTACTCACTAAATTTTCAGTGGCATTTTCATCACAATAATTTATGTAAACAGGTTTTGTTGTAGAAACAAGAAATGAGATGACATGACATAAAAATATTATTAATCTGTTAATTTTCAAGTCATTTTGGAGTTTAATGACTCTGACTAATTTTATTTAAACCTACTCCTTTTAATGAGTAAACTAAATTATAATGTTACTTTAATTCAGTTTTTATCTATACTGTTTATTTATGACAATTTTGGTTTTAGCTGCTTTTTAGCTCTTTCCCATGTTGACTTATTGTTTGTAAATTAAATTTTGCTCTTAATTTTTGGTTTAATTCTATTTTTATACTTTCATTGGATTCAATTCAGTTTCATCATAATTTAATTCTATAAAGTTAGTCACTTTTCAAACTTCTTTTATTTCTATGCATTTTGGTAGATTTCTTTTTATTCCCTTAATTGTTAAGGTTTAGGTTTACACAACTGATAATGCAATGCTTTAAATCCATCTGGTTGTGGCTATTCTACTGAAGTTCAAAACTTCAAGGTGGATAATTGTGTAATTTTTACGTTTTCTATTATTAAGTGAAATCCCAACATAATTTTAAAAAGAAGTGTCTTTACAGCCATATTAAGTTGCTATTTAATTTAAAACTAATATTTTAAAAAACTTTGGGGGCTCCCATATTTTTTCTCTCGCAAAATTATTTTTTTGTCATAAATAGTTACGACTAAATTAAAAGGTTTTATTGTATTAACACAAACTTGATGTCACAGATTTAGTTCTTAATTCTATTGTGATAAAATATAAACATATTTAATTTATTTTGCTCAGTTATGATTTTAACTCTCTCTGTAATTTTTTTAAAATTCCTTTTTAATTTTAGTTATTTTAAAAATTCATAAAACTCATTTTTGTCCAACAGATTATTTAGTAATTGTCCAAAAAGTTAATTCTTAATAATGTTTTACAATTTTGTATTCATTATTTTTATTACATATGTTGATATATATAGGTTAACATGGGAGAGGAGAGAAGTGGAATCTGAATACATAAAAGCTTTGAACTGTTTCTAAGTGATTAAAATGTCCCAAGTCAGATATATATATGTTCGATTGCTCAATAAGCTTAAAAAAATAGTTTTCAAGGAGTCTATGAAAAATTTCCTTGTTATTTATGCATTTAACATCTGAGTTTTGTATGTAAGCTTTTGTTAACATTAAACTAACTATTTTGTAAAAAATACCCTCACTGTAAACGAGTTTGACGATAAAAGTATTTATCGCGTTCTAAAAGTATTACTGCTAACATCAAGATAAAAACTTTTTTTTTGACAATAAATTAGTGATTTGAATAATCATGATTTGTCCTGTTAAGAGAATTAGTATTTAAAAATAATATAATTTTTAACTGACATTTTTAAATGGAATGTATCCCAGTGAAGTAAGATATGTATCTGCTTACCTCACTGGAATGAAAGCATTGTCTTAAGGGGACTTGTGTAGCACTAAGGTTTTTAGGTACAATATTGTTTCATTGCACCTCTGAAATATTTTTATAATGTATCTTTTTATGTTTTAATGCAATGAGATTGCAATGATTAAGCATGTTGCTGTGTAAGAAAATAAATGTATGAAGGTGTTGATTTCGATTACTTATGGTGTTTATTTCATATCATTGAAATACATGTGACAATGTAGGTCTAAATATTTTAAAGGGTCTGCATTTGATGAGTTCTTTTAAATGATATGGATAACTCTGTATTGGAATTTGTAAATCATCCTTTTAATAAACTAATTTCTACAGCTAAAATAAGTTATATTTGCTTTTTTATTTATTATTTTTATTTATATTATACAATCTTTGGCTCTAAAGAAGGGGGGGGGATAATTCTTTAAATGTTATTGACGGGTGGTTACAGAGGAGCTAAATCAATACAAGAAAGTCAGGAAAATGTTGGGTAGTTTAACTGAAATACCCCAAAACTCAAAGGAAATGAATAATTTTATTTTTGAGTTACTTAGAAGTCTAATATTTTTCCTAAAGAATTGATCTTGCACCAATTTTTGAAACACTTTTTTTTCTCTTTTGATTTTCAACTCTTATGACACATATAAGTGTTTTGTATTGTTTCATGATAAAGAATTAGGCATTGCAGAAAATTTAACATTAAAATTTAGCCAATCCGTTAAGAAAATGAAGGAAATTAATTAGTATCATTTTGCAAAAGTTAGGAAATTTTCTGGCGAGTATTTGAGACCACTTTATATTGTCTTTTGGTGAAAAAAAAATCTCTTTTTAGTGATTGAGTCATTTTATTCAAAAGCATTGTCCTGTTTTGTGTGTTCCAAATAAGGGAACTTCATTCACACAAAAATACTAATGATATCTTCCAATCAGATGTTCCCAACCTATTTAATTGTACAAGCTTTCAATTTTGTAAAAGAACAAAAAAATAAAACAAAACTTAGAAGCTTGAGGTCCATTAGCTACTAAATATGTAATGTGAGTATATATATATAAATATTTTACCTTGAAGGGCCGAAATCAAGAGAATGTAGACTCACTGGTGAATGTCAACAAATGTCGCTTTGGTAAATGTCCAAAATATTTGTTATATCATTTTTGATATTAATTTATTCATTAATATTATATTTATTCTATATTTTAATATCTGCTGAGGATAGTTTAGGAGAAACACCAGTGTTCAGAGTACCGGTTAAATTTACATCGGGCAGTGGCACTTTAAAAAACATCACTGTAAGAGAATTGCATACTGTGCAGGAGGATAAAATATTGATTGACTATTATTGACTTAGAAAAAATATTGATGTAGGGCATACCGGGCAGTGACACTTAATTAGACCTAGACATATTCAGACATTTACCATAGCGACTTATTATACATTTTTATTGATTGTCAACAACCACTAATTTCGGTCATTCACAGTAACGTATATATAATGTGCACTTACGTCAATATTTAGTAAAAGATACAGTACTGTACAAGAATTGTGAATTATTGAGCAAAACCACATCTCACTCGGAACAGTAAATCGTCCCGAAAAACAGTCTTAGATGACAAGATTTATCTTGGTTTTTAGCTTCTACTGATCCAGTGGCATCCATAGGTTGGGAACTGTTGCTCTTAGCAACAAGCTTTTTTACAATTATTACTGTAGTACTATTGTACTGAATCTACCTAGCTACTATGCCTAGCTGCTATGCCTATACCTAGCTACTATGCCTATTTTTCCTATATTTTTGAAGAAAATGCCATTAAGTGTCCTATATTTTTTCTGAATATAAAATTTTTATTTCGTCATTTTTAGGTATTTTTTTGTTTATTTTGATTTTATTTCTCTGATATGTTTTGAATAGTTATTTATAATGTTTTTAATCCAAGTTTAAATTTTTTTTTAACACAAACTGATTTAATTTTTTTAAATTGGTAATTTTAGTTGCTTTTTTTTAAACGTTGTGAAGGTATCCGCATGAAAGCTCATCATTTCCCTTTTGTTAAGTTTTGATGGGCTCCAATGATGTTTTAAGCAATTAATTAATTTTTTTATACCGATAGCCTTTTTTTTTGTCGCTTTAAGAGATCAAATTCTTTTTAATCAGCCCAAGAATGCCTAAAGCAAACCTAATCACTTTCACTTTGATTTTATGTGCAAGTGTCAGTCATTTTCATAAAACCATACTTTATTTTCGATGACTGATTATATAGTTGATCAAAATATATTTCAAATTTGATGATATGAATAGAAATATCTGTGATTTAATAATTATTTTCAAACGCAATTTTTTGCACCTAAAAGTTTGAATTGGTTACTTTTTTTTCGGTGAAAGCTCATGTCAAAGTTTTACTTATTTTGATAAAATCATATTCTATTTTTCATATCTATTTTAGTTCATAAGAAGGATTTAAAATAAGATAAATATAGAATACTTGTGACTCAAAATTGATTATTAAAAAAAATAATTTTCTGTTAGACTTGGCTATTGTTCAAATTATGATAAACTAAAAAAAATTCTTTGTTCATAAGTTTCATTTTATAACCGTCTTTCAACAGCCGACCCAATTCTGAGTTTATGACTACTAATGTTCAACTTCATAACCTTGTAATTTTGAATCCAATCCAGAAGACAAGGAAACTTCTAGATTAAGTATTGGGAGAAATTTGCCGTCGTGAGAACTTTTTGATGGAATTAACCTGCATTTGCGTTTCATGGAGAGGAAAATCACGAAAACCTCCTACAGCTTGTCTGACGGAAAGGGAACTCTAATCCATGATTCGTCTACCACTGATGATATTTTGTGTCAGCACTGTGCGAGCTGAGTGCGGAATTCGTATCGACCAGCCATCACTGGGATTCGAACCCGGTTCACCTCATTGGAAGGCGAACTCCTCTACCTTGAGCCACTACGGTTTCATTGTAGTCTATAACATTTTGTGACTTTAACAATATTAGATTGCTTGTATTTTTGGTTAATTTCAGAATTAAACAAGGATCAAGTGTTGTCATGGATCAAATATTTTTAAGATTTTCAGATCAAAGATGAATAATTTATTTTCATGTAACTAGGTTATTGCTACTAATGAATAAGGCTAGTTTAAATACTTAACATTAGAGAAATGACATAGCAAACTTATCTACACTGGCGCCGTGAATTTATAACAACACGCCAATATGTATGGTACGTCCTACATCTTGACTAGTTTGGTGCAACTCACAGTTTGTCCACTAGGAAACAGAACTAATAGCAACACAATCGAGGTAACCAATCTCACCCACTTAGAGGAACCTATTCTCCATCTAGGGTTTCCACTCTCCCCTATATGGGTATAATAAAAATTCCTGTAATTTTTTGTGTGTGCTATTAGGACTGCTTTAAGGAAATCTTGAACTCTATCTTTTACAAGTTTTAATTAGACATTGGTAAACGAGTACTTACTGGTTATTTTTTTTTAATGTGGCAATCTCATAAAAATTTTCTCGATATTAAACTATTATGTGTTGTTAATTAACTATCTCGATATTTAACTATTATGTGGCTCTATTAATTAAATAATACTGGAAATTGTTTATAACTTTAAAGTAATTCTGAAATTTTAAAAATAATAAACTTTATTATTCTTTAGCGTTAAACGTTGCTTTTATTGAATTTAAATACACCAAATAATGTTTTTTTCCCCCAGCCCATTACGAGGGCTGTCTAAAGTACTATTTTAGCGAGTCGGAAAAAAATAATAAAAAAAAACGATAATATAATGAAAAAAAAATTAATTTTTTTTTAAAATTTAATATCGAAATATTTTTAGTTTTATTAACTATACAGTTTTAAATGATATATCCAAGATTGGAATGCAAGTGGTCGAATAGATTTTGCGAATTTAAAATACGGAAAATGCGACTATTTTCTCCCCTCCGCGTTTTGAGAGGCTGATATCCAAATTTATACATATTGAAGAGAGAGACCTAATATAATGTCGTGAATGAAAAGGAACTTTTTAAGGTCTTCGCTGAGGTATTATTAAGAATTATTTCTAATCTAAGTGATCAAATTTTAACTTTCAAGCTTTGTAAGTGAAAATTCGATCATTTGAACTTTAGTTATTTATTGTCTTTTCTTCTTTTAGCTGTTTACATTTAAAATGGAGCAAATATTAAATGTTTTGTGCATTGCATGAAACCGATAGAATCGCTGAACTTATATCATTTTTATAATAATCCGTTTTATAAGCATTTCAGTTGTAAAGCAATGGCACCATTGCTAGCACTAGTTTTCCCCCCTTGAGACGTCACGCCTGTGCCACGAAATTTATCCTCATCATTGGGATACCAGCAAGTGACGTAGTGTGGGTATCTCGATCCTGATTGGTTGTTGAAACGCGGCATTTGTTTTCATTAGCAACTGCTCTTTCCATTCTATTTCGAGTAAGCCAAGCCCGTCAAGTACCAATTTTCTTAAGTGACACATCTATATTCTTTCACAAAGATTTTAATTCTTTCACTATTTATTTTTACAAAGACAGGCATGAAGCCATGTAGAACATGAACAAACTTATTATGCATCAAAGTTGCCTGGTGAATAAAACCAAAATATATCACGGTTACAATAAAATACATTAACAAATAATAAATCTATGTTAAGTAAGAGAAATAGACTAAAAATAATTATATTTATATAATAATTACATATATATGTGTTGTACGGTTCTGTATTTAGTTAACTTAAAGTTAATTAACATTCTAAGTTGTGTAGAGCTCGACTTAGTAATAGCTCGAATTTAATATTTCATATTGCTGATAAAGATTAGCTGATGCTGACTTCATACGTCACATGCATGGGAAATGGTTGTCTTCTTCTTGAAGTGCAAGTACCCAATTCTACATAGTAAGTTAAAATTTTGCATGCATATATAGTATAAGTTAAAACTATCCTTTAAAAATGCAATTCAGATCAATTTTACTAATTAAAATTCTTTTCGTTTGAAATAATGGAATTCTAATTAAAACGATTTCAAACTCTTTTTTTTAATTCTTTTTTTTTTAATCTCCAAACGATTTTTTAAAAAAAAAATTAATATCATGTGTAAACTGTTTCTCCGCTTTTTAAAATTCTTTTATGAATATAATCGACGAAAAAATGGGTAAGTTTGTAACAGTATCTGATTTCTCGACAGTACAAGAACTCATAAAATACTTTAAATACTTTGAAGAAATTCAGAATCCTCTTAAAGATAACTTAGAATATTCATGCGAAAATTTATTAGAAAACTGCGCAGTTAACGAAGATGTTCATGAATGGTGTCAAACTATGCTGTCTTCGGAAATGAATGAAAATATTTCCAAAGGTACATTAAGTAAGATTTTAGAACTATTATTTTTTCTCAGGTTGGTAAAGTTGGATAAATTTAAAGAATATAACTCTGAGTTTGATGATGCAGTTATAAGCATTTTAAATATGGGCTGCAAGCTTATAAACTCTTGTAACGAACACGGGTTTAGTGAAAAAGCTCTTTTCTATAACGAAAAGTGCAACTGTTTAATTAATTTGACGATGTCTGACATGGAAACAAAAGAATATTTTAAAAACTTTTTAGTAGAAAAAAAATTTATCCTGGAATTGTTTCGCATTGAAAGTAATGAAAAACTGAACATCCTAAACGAATGCATTCCCGCATTGTTGAGAATTACTCAACAAATTTCAAGTTATCCCCTTTACTTGCAATACTTTCTGCATCTCTGTTACAACGTTGCTATAAAGTGTATAAAAACAGAGCGCTATGCTGAAATCTTGGAACTTTTGAAAGGTGCAAAAGATCTTGCAAAATCCACTACAAAGCAAATTAAAGTATCTCTGCTTTACCTTCTAGTTGTAGTTCATTTTCATACAGAGTATGAGGGAAAATTTCAACAATGCTTGGAAACTTTAAATGAAATTTATAGCGAAGAGCCTACAATGCTTTGCGTTGCTTGGAAGGTCAAAGTGGCGCTTCTAGCTGGCTTTGATTTAAAAGAAATCTTGAACAATATTGAGAATCTTCCGATAATTTCAGCTGATTTTATATTATACGTTACTGAACAACTGTGTGCTCAGAATTACGGATATTTGATCTCAGACGCTTTGAAAAGATTCAGACGAAATCGCTTTGACGTGAAAGAGAAATCGTATCTGATAAGCACAGAACTAAAAATCTATATTGATAATAGTAATCTGAAAGAAGCATTCAATGTTCTTGGAGAGTTATCAGAACTTGCAAGACGAAGTGATACACCGACTTCTTGTATTTATGAGGTTTTTAAAATAATTTTGGCGCATTCTTCCAATGAAAATATGAAGAAATATGCCCGCGAATACGTGTCTATATACGATAAGTGCTTAATTATCATGGAAGTAGCGAACATGAAAATGAATTCAGTTCACCATAATCTGAAACAAAGAATATGTTTCTGTTCTCTAGAGATAAATGACAGGCAAAAAGCTATGAAAACTATTAATGAAATCAAGAAATTCCCACTCAAAAATTTTTTCGATGTCTTTTTGTTTTTACAAACAGGCATTTTGTATGAGGATAATAGCCTCGTGGAGCTTGCACTGAAAAATGTAGGTAAGTTTATTTCGTTTTGAAGATTTATTTTACTTTGTAAGGATATCCACGCTATGTTGAAAAAGTGGGTATTGATCGGTTGTAGAAATCACGTGTTGCCGACTGTTTCATTCTCGAGTTGTTGCCAGCACGAACATAGGTCTGCATAATCGATGAAAATGAATTTTAGTATCACGATGTCACAATGTATTGTCAAAAATATCGATAGTTATCGATATGTTGTTGTTGTTGCAGAGATGCCAACTTGCTCCGGACAGCAAATATATATTTTAAAGTGGTAGTTTATCAATGTATTATTTTATCTTTATCGCCA